AACCGCCAGCCTTCTGGTTAGCAGTCAAGTGCTTTAGCCACTATGCTACCCCAGAGGTAGAAAAAGGGATCTCACTGCCATCAAGAGAGAAGAGTCGGAAGTGGAGTGGAGTGCGTCCTTGGACCCAGATCCCGGCTCTGGACCTCGTTAGCAGAGAGACTGGCAGAGGGAGGGCACCAGCAGAGCCGAGACCCACACAAGACAGAACAGAGGACTTCCGGGCCCACAGAGCAAGAAAGCTGAGTGCCTTGGGGCAGGAGGTTTGCTGGAGGAGTGGGGTGCACTCAGGGGCACCTATTAGCAGGTATATTGTAACACTTGCCAGAGCAGGGCAGAGGCCAGGCCCAGAGGCAGAGGGCAAAAGAGAGGTGCGCCCTTGGGCATGGCTGAGGGGAGGCTGCCCTGGCTAAAGAGCTGTTTCCTGGCCTACGCCTCCCCCACTGCTTCCCCCAGGACTTCAGGAACAGATGGTGGAAGTGGCGCAAAGTCAGAGGGGAGGTTGCCTCACCTGGCTCAGGCATGCTGAATGCCGCCTCCAGCCCCTGCAGCCACTAGGCTGCCCAAGCCTGATGACAGCCTCATCCCCAACCCAGCCTGGCAAAGGGTCATGGCCAGGGACATCCAGCCCCCGCCCTCCTGAGGCGTTTCCCCTGGGGCTGAGGCCAGGAGTGGGGTATGAGAATGACATCCCCCTCTTCGGGAGAGGCGCCCCAACGCCGGTGTGAAAAGCGGACATGAGCAAAACAAGACGAGACTCTCCACGGGCCGGGGAAGAGGGCCGCTCTCCACCACCGGGGCCGGAAGTCGGGCCCAGCCACTCGAGACTCGGAGCCCCGCCCCGTGGTCTGCGAGCAGGGGCGGTGCCTCTGCGGCTGACAGCTGCAGGCTCGGCCCGCCAGGCGGCGCTAATTTCAAACACGCCCGCCGCCCGCCCGGGACGAGTGCCGGCCGCTGGGTAGGCTGGGGGCGCGGCGAGGGGCCCCGCGCTCTCACTGCCCATCCTCCCCGGGGTCCAGAACGGTGGGCGAGGTCCTGCACCCGGCAGAGAAGGCCTGCGGGCGGCGCCCCGCGGAGTCCGGGCTGCAGCTCGCGGCAACCGACCGGACGCTCAGGGCGCCGAGCGCACCGGGGCTGGAGAGGACCCGACCTGGTTGTCCAGCGGGATGTGGCCAAGGGGCTGTCCGGGCTGGGGAGAAGAGGGCCGCACCTGAGACCAGAAGAGCCGTTAGCCACCCAGATCCTAGGCTACGCCCGGACCAGCTTCGCGAGCTGCCCCAGCTCACAAAGATCCCGCGGCTTGGGTCTCCGCCGGGCTGGCATTGGGCCCTCCAGGCCGAGGAGGCGGGGCTAGACCGAGGGGGCGTGCCCGTGGAGGAGAAGGCGGGGCCCCGGGAGGCGAGGGCGGGGCCCTGGGAAGATCGGGGCCCGGAGAGGGGAAAGTGGAGGAGGGAGACTAAATCCAGGAGGCGTGCCCTGGGCGAGGCCGGGTCGGGGGCGGGGCCATTGCGGGGAGGGCGGGGCCGGGGTGGGGCCAGGGAAGGCGAAGAGGGAGAGGCCAGGCAGGGTCGGGGGCGGGGCCAGGCCGAGGCGGGGACGGCTAGGTCCAGGAGGCGGGGCCAGGCCGAGAACGGCGTCTTTCTGCCCCACCCACCGTGACACACACGCGGCGCCGCGCATATAAGTGGACGTGGACGCGCCCGCGCGTGCGCACACCCGGCGCGCGTTGCCGTAGTGGAGCTGCCTCTCGCGGTCTCTGCAAATGGGCTCGGTGGCTTAGTCCCTTCTTCCCCTGCTACCTCACCCGTCATCGCGCGCTGAGGCGCCGAGGGGTCGCCGCGGAGGTGAGGCCGGGCAGGGTGGGGGTCCGGGCCCGGGACGGGGACGTCTCCCGGATCTGGGCCGCTGCCGGGCGCAGGGGCCTTTATGTCCTGCGGCGCACGGGCTAGAAGCCCGTAGGTGGCCGGCCCGGACTGGTTTGGACTGGGACGCCAGCAGCCCGGTGCACAAAGAGCTTTTGTTCTGACTGCGCAGCCGGTCCGGGCCGGTTGCAGCCGGCGGCGCGGGAAGGCGGGCTCAGCCCCGCCCAACTCTGTCAACAGCCTTTGCGGCCCGCTCGCCCCGCCCCAAGGGCGGAGCCAGCGGCTCAGCTCGCGGGGAGCGACCTGCCCGAGGGTCGCTTTGGTAACAAGGTCCCCCACACGTGCAGGTTTTCACCAGGCCCAGGCAACAGCATGGCAGCCATCCCCTCTAGCGGCTCGCTCGTGGCCACCCACGACTATTACCGGCGTGAGTAGGACCCTTTGTCCGCCTTCGCGACCAGTGCAACTGGGCCCTCACCCCCAGGCCAGGCACAGAGGCCGCGCACTTGGCCTCCTGGCGCCCCCCATGCGCCCAGCTGCCTGCACAGGGGTGTCTTGCCAAAGACCCCTTGACCCACTGCTCCTTTTACCGCTCTTAAAACTGGTAGCTGAGTGGCTGGGGGGGTGGACATGCTAGTGGACCTGGCCCTGCTGACCGGCCTGTCCCCCCAGGCCGCCTGGGGTCCACGTCCAGTAACAGCTCCTGCGGAAGTGCTGAGTACCCTGGGGAAGCCATCCCCCACCACCCAGGTGAGTGCAGCCATCCCCAGCTCCCAGCTGGAGTGTGGGGGGCCAAGTGAAAGGGCCCCAGGTGCGCACCCATCCTCTTTGCTTCTCCCAGGCCTGCCTAAAGCTGACCCGGGCCACTGGTGGGCAAGTTTCTTCTTCGGAAAGTCTACCATCCCCTTCATGGCCACGGTGCAGGAGTCCCCAGAGTGCTCAGGACCTCCCCAGGCCTCCAGCACCATGATCGCCTGTGACTTGGCTCAGGGCACCGGGAGGAAGCCGCCTGGAAGCCCGCCAGCGACACCAGCGCCGGGCCCCTCCTGAACTTCCACCAACCACCACCAGCAGCTTCCAGAGGCACCAGGCATCACAGCCCCTCTCTGTCCCCCCTCCTAGACCAGGCAGGAGTGGAGAAGTGGTTGGTTCTTTTTATATCAAAAAAGCAAAACACCAAACACAAGTCAAGAGCACCCCACTCTTTACTGTCCAGTCACACACAAGCTTTTGCGACACCCTATAACCACCTGCACCGACTGGCAATAAACTCAGAGCCTTAGCAGCCTGTCTGTGTACCTGTGTCCTCCAGGGCCTACTGTGCATGTGTCCGCATGTCTGTGAGCCTGTCATCCCTGAGAGCCATGTGTGTGCATGAGCTTTTGCCAACCCAGGGGCAGCTGGGAGAGTTAACCGGAGCCCTCTCAAACTCCTTGAGGCTGGGGGCTGGGGGGCAGCTCACCCCTGCCCATGGGAGCCCTGTACCCAAGTGGTGGCTGCCTCTCTGCTGCTGGCAGAGAGGTCCTTCTACCCTGCAGTAAAGGGGGCTGGTTGAGACTCAGCCCACAGCCTGGCTGCGGGCAGCTGGGCCATGCTGTGTCCTAGGTACCTCCAGGGGTGTTGTCTACACTTCATCCCCCTGTGGAACACATAAAGGGCAGGGTCCTCAGCCCTGGGGACTGCTCTGTGGCCCCAGTTGCCCAAGACAGGCTGAGGGGTAGGGCGGAGTGGACATTTGGCTATGGAGAGCCAGTGGGGGTTGGTCCTCGATCTGCTGAGCCCAAGGGTGCAGAGAGGGGTGGGCACATAAGCTCAGGTGACCAGGAACCCTGCCCCTCGTCCAACCTGGGAGAGGACCAAGGGAGGGTGATGGGTTCCCTGTGTCGAACCTCATGGTATCTACAGGGACTGGATCAGGTCTGGTGGGCTCTAAGGGGCTCAGGGGTGGGGCAGCTTATTAAGAGGGTGGGTTTGGGGTAACGTCAGAGGGTCCGGGAAGGGAGGGAGCACCCTGCCTCCATACCCCATCCTACACACTAAATAGCTTCATCTGACTCCACAGAGGGCATGGGTAGAGTGCAGCAGGCCGAGCCTCCCCCCAGCTCCCTGCAGGTACTCCCATGGGACTGACGGCCAGTTCCAAGCCCCACAGTCTCTGTCCACAAACATGATGTTCACAGAGGTCCTGGAAGTAGAAGTGGCAACACCCTACCACCACATGGCCCTGGGTTCCTGGAACGGGCTGGTGTGGTCCATGACCCCCACACACAGCTGTCTCTGCAGTCCTAGAGGCAGGCCAGACTGTGGTGATAGGATCTTCCACTGGAACCAGGGCCCAGGCCCCAGCAGCCTGCTCTGAGGAGGGGCCTGCCCGGTCCTCATGGAGCCGGCAGGCTTCAGCTCCAGACCAAGGACAGGTCCACGGGTGCCAGAGGGTTCCAGCTGCCCTGCCCCTGGGGTGTTGGAGTCACTGGGGAGGGTAAGCACTTCTCAGGAGCTGGCACATGTAGGGGAGGGGCAGTGCCACAAGAGTCTCCCTGGCTCTGTCTCCAGGACTGGGAGTGGTCCCCCCAGCCTGGTCCCAGAGCTGCAGCTCCTTCCAGTAAACTCAGTAGGTCCAGGTTGCGTTGCCTGAGCCACTCGGGCTCCAAGCCCTGGCCCCAGTGCGGGCTAGGCAGGGGTGCGGCACACTCAGAGAGGGTTCTCGTACCTCGTGAAGCTGAAGAGCTTCTCCCGCAGGGCTCGGAAGCAGGGCCTCTGCTCGGGGTCCCGCTGCCAGCAGGCCAGCATCAGCTTGTACACAGTGGGCGGGCACCCCAGGGGGCAGGGCATGCGGTAGCCAGCGTCTACTCTCAGGAAGGCCTCGTGGTTGGACATGCCTGTGGACAACAGGAGCTACGGGCTGGGGCCAGTCCCCCCAGCATGTCTGCACCCATGTTCTTTCTAAGCCCCCTCACACATGCTATATGCTCCTGAGAGACCGACCTGTGCCTTCTCTGAGCCCTGATACCTGGAGACAGGCTGGACACTTCTGAAGGTTGGCTGAACAGGCAAGTGTGACATCAGGCATGCCGGCGCCCCCTGGAGGCCACTGGGGGCATCACCTCCAGCCCTGCACCCCACTGCTCCCTTCCTGCCCTGCCTACCGTCATGGCCAAATACCTGGATAGGGCGTCTGACCCCTGCTGAAAATCTCATGCAGGAGGACCCCGAAGGACCAGACATCTGACTTGGTGGAGTACTGCCCTCGGGAGAGTGCTTCAGGGGCTGTCCACTTGTAGGGGATGTTGTGGTCATAGGACAGGTAGATGTCCTCCTGCAACCAGACACACATCAGTGTTACCCCCAGTGACTCCCTGTGCCACCAGAGGCACTGCCTGCCTCGGACTCAGATGTTCCAGAGTGGGGGCAGAACAGGGCGTCCAGGGTCAGGTAAGGAGTGACTGTCCCAGAGTTATTCAGAGGACCCCAAGGATGGGCCAGCAAGAGGCCTATCCATCAGGACACTGGCTGCCACGGGTGGAGACTCATGGGGCGTGTGTCTGTCACAAGCCACAGAGACACCCAACAAAGCGATGGCATGGCTGTTGCCTGTGCACAGACACTCATCTGCCCAACGATGACACTGCTGGTTACAGAAACACGACCTTGCACAGATAAAATGATGCTATCCTGGGACTGCGTCGAAATCACAGGGAGAGGGCGTGAAGGGGCAGGAGAGGCCCACGGGCTCGTTACGCCATCATGCTACTTCTCGGAAGTCTGTGTCCAGAGTTCCCCGTGATAAAGCAGCAGTCCCAGTGACCTCTGCCCCTGAGTTCAGACCCAGAGCAGCCAGCACAGTGGGGACTGAGCGAGTGATGAGCCTCCGGCCACCCCACTTCTCATCAGGGGCTCTCTGCCCTCAACACACCGCATCGCTGCAGCCCCTCCCCTCCCTGCTCTCCTGCCCCCTCAGCTTCTTCCCTTTCAGCTGAAAGCGGCTGCCCTGGGCTCCCTGGCCTGGCCCACAGCCCTCTCTCTACCTTGCCCTGTGGGGCACTCCATACTCGAGCAGCTGGCAGGGGGCCTGTGTCCCTAGAAGCCGAAGCCCCCGCCTCACCCCAGCTCTGCAGAGGAAGCGCAGTCCCCTCTAGGGCCTACCTTGATGAGCCTGGCCAGCCCAAAGTCTCCCACTTTGCAGATGTTGTTGGCCCCCACAAGGATGTTCCTGGCAGCCAGGTCCCGGTGGATGTAGTTCTGTGACTCTAGGTAGCACATGCCTTCAGCCACTTGCGATGCAAAGTCCACCAGCTCCGAGTCAGGAAGCACCTTCTCTTCAGAGTCTGCAAGGCAAGGGGGAGGGGGAGGGGCTCGGCTGCGGGGCTCAGTAGGGGAAAGGGGTCTGGGCTCAGCTAGGGGGCTCAGCTGGGGTGGGGGGCTTAGCAGGAGTGGGGGCAGGGCCTTGGCTGGGGGAGCTCAGGGGGGGTGCAGGGGTGTCGGGGCTCAGCTGGGGGGCTCAGTTGGGGTGGGGTGGGGGCTCAACTGAGACAGGATGGGGGACAGGGGACCAGGCTCAGCTGGAACAGGGCAGGGAAAGGGGGACTTGGATCAGCTGGGGCTGGGTGAGGGTGGGGCCAGGCTCTGCTGAGATAGGAGGGATGGGGGATGGGGGGACGAGGCTGGGGGCGGCGGGCATGGAGAGGGCAACCAGGTTTAGGGCCAAGCCCCAGCTCAACAGACAGCTCAAAGGGCGTCAGAGCCTGGGGTTGGAGTAGGACAGGCCAAAGGCCAGTTGGCCTGGTTTAAAATTGAAACGGGCTGCAGCCTTCCTGGAAGGCAAATTATTAAGAACCAAAAAGCAGCTCCTACCTTTGACCATAACAACAACAACCTTTGACGCAAGGTGCTCTGGTGGTGGAGTACCTAGGCATTCGCTAACCAACAGGTTGGTGGTTCAAACCCACCAGCCACTTGGCGGAAGAAAGACTGGGCAATCTACTTCTGCAAAGATTTATCACCTCAGAAGCCCGACGGGGGTCGTCACTATGGGTCGGAATCGACTCGATGGCAGTGGGTTTGGTGGTTTTGGTTTTACCCTTTGCCCCAGCTTTCCTCTCTGGCGCTCTACACTAAAGTGACGGTACTTGGGCAAAGGGTTCTGCCCAGAACTGTTCATCACATTGCTGAAAAACCTCAAGAGGGTCCAACAGCAGGTGATGGGTTTAACAGACCTGTTGTTGTTGTTGTTATATGCCATCTAGCACATCCAAAACCGGGCCATGTAAAGGTGTGGGAAAGGGCTCTCAGTGCTGTGAAATCAACAGACCTAGCACATCCAAAACCCAGGGCATGTAAGGGTGTGGGAAAGGGCTCTCAGGGTTCCAACTGCTGTCATATGTTCAGTATACTCAAACACGTGCACGCACGCACACACACACAACACATACACACACCTAGACACACACCACTCAGACACACATCTAGACACATACACACATAACACATACACACACGAAGAAACACACCTGGACACATACTACACACACTCAGACACACATACATAGACACACACCAAGACACACATACCTAGACACATATTAAAAAAAAACCAAACTCAAGTCGATTTCGACTCATAGTGACCCCTCCTTGGGTTTCTGAGGCAGTATCACTACGGAAGTAGATTGCCCAACCTTCCTTCTGAGGAGTGGCTGGTGGATTTGAACCACCATCCTTCTGGTTAGCAGTCAAATGCCTTAGGCACTACCTACACACATCCAGACACACACACTATACACACTGAGACACACACCAAGACACAACAAGATACACACTGCACATGCCCAGGCACACACACTACACACACAGGTGTACATCCAGACACACGCCCAGACACACAAACATCCACATCACCATCCTACAGAGCACATTTCTTCCCATGTTGGCAATTCTGAAATTGGGGTGTAGCTGCAAACCATGGCATATCGCCATTAGTCAGCAGTGATTTGGGGCTTTGTTTGGGGGGGAGGGTCAGGGAAAATGGCGCTTTTTATAAATGACAAGTCTTTGAGACAAGGAGAGACATTGTGTGCTCATGTCCACAGCCGAGGAGGCAGCCCAAAGGTGAGGCCAGGCACGCCAGGCGTGCACACTGCTGTGGCCTTATGAGAGGCCTCTTAACTGTACTTCTCTGCATCTTCTCACCTCTCTGCAAGGAGCAAATGGGCTGTGCGTGGATGTTCAGGCCACCCTCGTGGGCCGACTGTCTCACGTGGTGCACGGTGATTTGGGTGCTGGTTAATTTCTGCCTGCACTACACGGTGCGCCCCATCCCCAGCCACCCGCTCACCACGCAGTAGCTCCAGCAGGCTCCCCTTGGGCATGAGCTCCGTGATGATGTACACGGGGTCCCCCACGGACGCCACGGCGTACAGCGGCAAGATATGTTTGTGCCTCAGCTTCTTCATGGCCTGGATCTCTGCCTGGAATGTGTGCTGCTGCAGGAGATCATCTGTAAACGGCGGCCTCGGTGGGTGCGGTGAGCAGCCTGCCTCCGCTGAGACCCAACCCCTGACCCCTGACCCGGGCCCCAAGGGGAAAGGCAGGCCCACCACCACCCCAACTGCACACAGTGGCCACTCATAAACATGGGCAGAGCACCCAGCTCCTGAGGCCAGAATGCCAGGGAGAGACGAGTCAGGGGTGTCTGCACCACCATCTAATCTCAGCACTCCCAGGGGCACCACTGAGCCCCCCACTGACCAACCCCACTCAAGCCTAGACAGGTCCCTGAACCATGAAGCCATGAACCTCAGGCAATTGCAGTCAAGCCCTTTCAGGTCCCAGGGATCACTGTATTTTAATGGCTTTCATCTACATTGAGGGTTTAAAATGGCTGTTTCAAACATACACACTTAGGTGAAAACCTAGACGCAATTTAAGGAAGGTATTAGGAAGTGGGGTAATACGAGGCTGTGGGTGCAGGGCAGGAGGACGGAGGGCGGGAGGCCCAGGGCGCAGAGCCCTCCTTGGGCCCACTCACCTCGCGCAATCACCTTAATGGCCACTCGGACCTGCTCTTTCCAGAGCCCTTCAAAGACCTCTCCAAAGTAGCCGGAACCCAGCTTCTTGCAGAGGGTGAACTCCTCCCGAGGCCGCTCCCAGTCATCACAGTGGGGCAGCGGCTGGGGTTCGTGCTGCAGAGACAGGGTGAGGGCAGGGCGTGAGGTCTGGCGGCGGCCCCACCCTGCCCCAACCCCAGGAACAACGGGGTGCACAGCAGGAAGTGAGGGACCCGACCCGGGAGGCGGGGCCGGAGGGGACGCTGAGGATGGGCTGCCCCACTCATCTCCAGTGGAGGGCGTCGCTCCCAGGGACTGCTCCGCCCAGATGGCTCGCTTCTGTGGGTGCTCTCTGGGCCCAAGCTCTAACCTACCAGAATCACTACCTCTGCCCAGGATCCCGCTAGTCCTGGGAGGTGCAGAGCCTGAACTCTGCGGAGCAGGGGCTGGCCTCCGGCTGGCCCAAGAACAAAGACGGCCTCCCTGTCCCCGCCCCCCTCGGCTCCATCTCC